ATTTATAATTTAATAATCACGCTACCTACCAGTGGCGAAGGATGAAATTTTAGCAGAGGTAAGACGTACGAATTTTTACGGATTTGGATTAAAAAAAAATTATACAGATAGTTTATGACATATGATGATATAAAATATCAAAGATGATACTATATGTTCATAATTCTATAAATACAGAAGGTGTCCTAGCTCTTGTTCATGGTTAGGGGTGTTGCAGTGAATGCGCAAGCGATCCTGCACACCCCATTGCACTGCGGCGACGGGTTCCGCTGTGGGTTTTAGTGAGTAGGAGTCTCACAGTACCCTACCCATTGACGGCCGGTAGGGTCCCCATGATGGGTTTCCCCAGCGTCAACAAAAAAAAAAAGCTCTTGTTCATGGTATATCCGTGGTGTCATGGTAACCCCATGGTTGTTGTGGTTTGTTTCGGCAGACCTGCCATCGCATCGGGGCGTCGTAGTTAAATGCGTAAGCGATCCTGCGACGCCCCATTAAGACGGGAGAGGTTCCGTTGGGTTTTAGTGGGTAGTACTGGCTTTGCCAGTGAGTCCCACACTTCGTGCCTAAATGCATTTCCCAATGTTAAAAAACAATGGTACATCTGTGCGAAGAGAGAGGAAGTCGCTAGTAAAAATATATCTATAATTCTTTGATGTTAACCTATTACTATATAATACAACGTCTACATATGGGAAAGGTATTCCATTCGAGTAATTTTGTGCGTGATGCTACGTGATATTTTCAATTTCAAAACGATTATCGTCCTCTTGTTATGTTATAAGTTAATTAAGGTCCCAAATGAATATCGAGTTAAAATCACACACCTAAGGAAGATAACTATAATAGATATATGTATATTCAATTAATTTTTTCTCATTAACTTTGATGTGCACTAGTTAACATCAGAAAACTTCTTGTAGTCACGTAATATCAATGTCACGTAGAGAAGACACGAGAGAGCATGTACATACATATATTAGGCCGGAGAAATTACTCTTACATACAAGAACTGAACAGCAGCTGTATAATTTACAAATCGTTTAGAATCTATCTGACGAGTAAAGGTAATATTAAAAAAAAAAAGTTATAAAGAAAAAAACCATAATTACGTAGCTTTATAACTTTCTACTCGTACATGGAGGTATAAAAATTTAACCTAACCTCTGAATAATGCAATAGCCAATACGCAAAGTTTTACGGGGCACCATAATAATATAAAACCCATAACAGTTAAATTAAAATGTTAAAATATACATTTATTTACCTTTTTTTTTCCATGACAAGTATTATTTGTGCATATAATAATTTATTTTATATATATAAACATAATTTTACATAACGTTTTATATTTTTTTTATATTTTGGCAAAGATCAATCCTGATCGTTTACATCGAGTACAAAAAAAATACAATAAAATTATTAAAACCCTAATCAATTTGTTTTGTATTTTGTAGCTTGAAGTCGTCAATCTACCTAACTCAGCGCCCGCGCACAGTGCGCTGACCTTGCACACAACCACCGGTTGGCCTTTTGTCTAAAGCCTGATTATATTTAAACTTTTAGTCAATTCTCTTATATTACTAACAAAAATTTAAAAACGTTAAACGCAAATAGTAAGAGATAGTAAAAAATAAATTATTATTTTTACCCACGACGGAACGGAGACGGTATATGCGTTTGGGGTGAGAGGATGTTTGTTTGTTTGTTTATTTGTTTGTTTGTTTGTTATAAAATGATGCTGCCAATGACCATATATGTATTTACATATATTTTATATACCTATGAATTATGTATAAAACATAAATACAAAGAAGTGCTTACCTAATATACATATTTTTGACTTATTTGTCATGCGTAGGAAGACGCAGGCACTTTAAAAGCAGTAACATACTAAAACGAGTAATATTAATCATTGCAATAAATAAAGAACTTGAATCAATAAACATTTTCATATACAAATCTAATTACAATTGAAATACCGTTTACATTCATGAATCTGCATTAGTTTCGCGCTAAAAACGCACTGCTCTACTAACTAGTTGTATTTTAATTTTTATAGAAATCATTCGTCATAGATGCGATCAACTGTTGAAACTGTTATAAATTATCAATACATGATGCCGTAAAACTGTTATACGCGAATGACACTGTAAAAATAATACAAATGAAATTATTCTGTATAGCTATTTTGGATCACGGTGGTTCGATACACCTACAAATAAAAAGTTATGGTAAAGATACCATAAGGTCATATGGGGCACATGCCCAGGGCCCCCAGTCTCACGAGGGCCCCGAAAAGATAACATTTTCGTTTACATGGAAAAGAGAGAAAGTCAATTTTTAGTTTATAATACACTACACTGTATATAATAAACTGCGTAATATTATATTTCTTCGTTATTTTTTTTCCATCTTTCAGTTCACTCCTTTACGTCATCGAGTTTTTTTTATTTTTGTAATTTACTCAAATATTTGGCTTTCAATTTTTTTTACTTTCTATAAGGTCCTAAATTGTTGTGTCCATGGCTTAAGGAGGTACTGAAATTAGTATACTAATCCAGACACTTTTAGCGAGGGCCCTCGACAGGATAATCATACGGAGCGTGTGGGATGAGACGCTTTACCGACTGTCACACTTATTTTTATATCTATCTATTCAGCCGTTTTTAACGTCGCACTGCTGGGCACGGGCCTCTCTTCAATACGAGAGGGATCAGACCATAGTCCACCACGCTGGCCAAGTGCGGATTGGCGGACTTCACATATCTTTCGAAAACTTGATAGGTTCTCTCAGGCATGCAGGATTTCTCACAATATTGTCCTTCACCAAAAGGCAAGTGTTGATCATGTTTGAAATGATTAGCACATGAAAATATCAGAGATGCGAGACCCGGTATTTGAACCCGCTTCACTCGATTTCTCAAGCGGGCGCGCTACCACTGGGTTACCACTGCCTATTATATTTTTATATGGCATTAGGGAAACGGCTCAAAACTCAAGCTCAAAAACGGGTGTAACTGTAACTTAACACGAGATGGCACTAAAGCGCTTTAATTTCAAAAAAGATTGCCATAGAAATTGGGTATTTTTGACAACCCTTGCATTTGACAACATTTCCGTTAAATCAATAAACGATCTTTATATTCTGCTATCACTTTATATATAATAATATAGTGATGTCATATCACGTACATTTGATGAAGTAAATGCACACAATGAATGAAGTTTATTTTACTATGATAATTGCAAATTGTTTTAGACTATATGACTATGCAGACAGTATCGAGGTTCAGTTAAATGCCAAGGTGAACTACTTATTCTTACCAACAATCACCGTTTCTACGCGGACTGTAATAATTTCAAAGTCAAAAAAATATAAGAGTGCGCATGCGCATGCGCATGCCTCTAATTATCCAGATGATTCTTAATCGACTATATTATCACATCCTTTATAAAGAAGCTAATTTAATTCCAAATTATTGAAAGCGTTAGCTTTTTAGATTTTAAGTTTATTTTCCAAAAAAGTTATAGAAACTGTTTTATTACGTACAACCGACTCACCACAGCTTCGCTCGGGTTTGCCTCTAGAAAAATAAATTTATCCCACGGGAACCGTGCATGATATAAACCTATAGGTTATTCTGATGTATGAGCTATATTATTGTAAAATTTCATTAAAATCCATTCAGTAGTTTTTGCGTGAAAGAGTAACAAACATCCATACATCCTCATAAACTTTCGCATTTATAATATTAGTAGGATATCTTATAGTTCTTACAAATCTAATTTATTCGTTCGTTCATTATTTGCATTGAAACTGTCAGTATGTATAATTAATGTCATAACTCATAATGCATATTATGAGTGAAAGAAATATGATGAACCGCATATTTGATATTTCATAAAAACAAAGAGGGCGTGGCTAAGGCTCGTCTCGAAAGTCCAAACGAAAGTGAAACTGTTGAAGAGCGACGCCATATATACATAACCAAAGAGAATTTAACAAACATTTACCTATATAGTTTTTCTAAGTTTTAAGTTTACATTTATTAAAACTTAATGTTTAGAGACAAATATTTGGAGGAGAATGTCACAAGTTTAATAAAATGAAAATTGTCCAATATGTGCAAATTACGGGTATAAATGACCTTGAAAGTAAATATTATTTCGATTATGTATTTTGATATAATAACATAATACTGAGGATCAAATTTTGAAAGCATATTGGTTTCACCTTTGGATTTAATTTAGTAACTAATACTATTATACATATAAATAGCTTTCATCTATTCCTTTAACGCTATATTAATCAATTACGTTTAAAAATACATTTTAAAATATATTCTTACATATAAAAGAAAATACGTAATATATTTTGTTCTTAATTCGTAAGAGTTATGAGAGATTTTAAAAGTATTTCAACAAAATTTAAGTATCTTGGATGATGGATTTTTGGAACATTAGTGATGTGCTTTCGCTTCAATTCTTTTGGATATTTTTTTAACATATTAATATTTCATCGCAAAATTACTATACATATCAGAAGAGAACTATGGCACTCCCAGACCCATAAAATATCTCTATACAAAAATCTATGTATATAATAAAATTCTAACTGAGTCAAATCTGTACATTAAATATTTTTTGGAAAATCTTATTGAAATAGTCATTATTATCGATACAGAGGCCGAATCTATAGTTTTTAGAATTTTTGTCTGTCTGTCTGTCTGTTACCGCATCACAAGAAAACCACTGGACAGATTTCGATCAAATTTGGTATGATGATAGCTGGCTATCCGGGTCAACATATAGGATACTTTTTACCGCGGGAAAATATCTCGTTTCTGATCAAAAATACAAAAACTGCAATGTTTGAGTATGCTGATATGTAAAACCTAAGAATTTGGTTTTTGGTCACCTGAACGCGGGCGGAGCCGCGGGCAATGCTAGTCTGTAATATATTTGTACAGAATTCAAAATGTAACATTATTGTACTTTACCTGTCCCTTTGAGATGATAAAGAATGTATCTCCTCTAGCACCTTGTCGTATGATGTAGTCACCGTTCTGGTAATGTGTTTCCTCTAAAACATCAGAGATCTTTATGAGGGTGTCTTCTGGGAGATCCTTGAAGATCGGTACGCTGTAACAAAAACAAATGGCAAATTATATTAACATATAGTAATTTATTATAATTAATAATTATTATTATATTATTATATAATGCACGTAAATACATATATACATACTAGCGACTAGGCCTTGCTTTGCTTCCCTTAAACTCTTTGTAACGATAAAAATTCTACTGAAACCACGTATTATGCTATTATGTAACAAATATAATTAATTATTTATAACATTAGTACACTTATATTGTATTGCCAAAAAAACTTAATAATTTTATATTGAATATTGCATTTCTCAGTCATTTTTAATACGTTTACTTACAATTATATTATTACTGTAAAATATCGCAATTTATTATTTATAATCACAAAAAACATACCGGATTTAGATAATATAACACCAGAAAGGATTTAAAGTATGCATTCGAAAGTATACTATCCGTCCTGCACTTGAATTAATACTCGTTTAGCTTCCGAACAGTTAAGAAGAGGAAATGGCGCAATCAACGTTAGTAAGTACTAGTTTGGATATATACTTTGGTAATTTTTAACGTAAGTTTTAACATATTATTCTAACTTCGTGCATTTGTAAATTTTATATTGCTTTGTAAATTAGTAGGTAATTCATTGTAAGTTTAAAATTATATTTAAGGTGCTAATATAAAAAAGTGGTTGCAATTTGATTCATAATTAACCATTAAAAGTCATTAATAGTGTCACTCTCGTTTAATGCCGGGTCTACACGTTTGCCATTTGAAAAAAACTCTCAACTCAACTCTACAAACATATATACGTCACAAGCATTTGCTGTACAATATATTTAAAAAGCTATTGTGATAAAGCAATTTGACTCAAATTATTGTAAATTATAAGCTTACATCTAATATTTACTCAAGGGTAAGTAAGGGTCAAACTTTAAAATATTTACTCAAGGGTAAATGTTTTAAAAAATCACGACGAAACATGAATTTTAATAAAGTAAATTTTATTACTTATTTGAAAAAAAATCTGCAATATATTTTCCTATATTTTATTTATCAAACATTGAAATATTACATTATATATATAACTATGTTTATTCATGCAGTTTAAAGTTTGCCTCCAACGTGACAACTAAGCGGGTCGTTCATGGAGTAAAAATTAAATCGACAGTAATTCTTGATATCTTTTGACACTTTAATTATACTGCGTAGGTTGATTCTTTGTATTTATGTTATAACTAAATTAACCACTATTTTAAACATACAATGTAGGTAGTTTATGTAAGAAAATAATCGAATTTGATACCGCATATATTTTCATAATCACATTCTTTGTTTTTTGACGACACGTTGTAGTGTGCTTAGTTTGTAGTGGCCTACTTGCTGTGCAAGCGGTCGCAGGTTGGAGTCCCGCTGGGGGCTTTCATTTGCGTGTTGAACGTTTGTACTCCAGTCATGGGATTATTTATTGATGATGTCATATATGTATAGTGTATCAACTATCTGGTATCCATGGCACGAGCCTCGTAGCTTACCATGGAACTACATGGTGATTTATGTTAATATTCCAATATATTTATTTATTCTTAACACCTCCAGGTAAATTTTTAAGAAATTAATTAAATTTCTAAGAAATCTATTGTTAACTGTAACGCCGGCGTGTCCGCGGTCGTTGAAGGATTTAAAGCTGAAATGCACCAACTAAGCTAAGTTAAATTTTTAATTTAAAATATGGCTAAATTTCATATATGTATTATATAGTAAAAATAGTAACAAGACTAAACATTTAAATATTATAATTACGTTTATATACTTAGTACTAAATAAGTTAAAGCAAATATTAGAACAAAACTAACTTAACTAATTTCGTATTGCGTTGTATTTTCTTCTTGAAATATCAAAGTGAACCAATTTAAACATTTTCGGTAATCAGATAAAAGAATACAAATATGCTAATTATAAATCTTACATATATATTAAATATTTACACTCAAAAGTATGTCTTGGCCCAATTAGAACTTGTTTATACTCGTATCTAACTAGCGACTCACCCTCGCTTCGCTCGGGTTCGTCTCTAGCTTGATTCCCAATACAACCTTTCATCCACGTGAAAATGGTCACCCTCTTAAGGGATTATTTCCGGGATAAAAAGTATCCTATGTCCTTCCCAGGGTCTCAAACTATCTTCTTACGAAACTTCTTACCAAATTTCATCTAAATCGGTTCAGTAGATCCAGAGATTACCCCCTATAACTTCACAAACTCACAAACTCACTTTACCTCTTTATAATATTAGTATAAACTAAATAAGTTCAAACTGTTTATAGTCGTCTATCCTATAAATATTAAGTAAATTAATAGTTGTTCAGCATCATTATGCGCTTAATTCTTGTTTAACTTAATTTAGTATGAATTTTATTGAATTATGCATTCCTAGGTAATAAATAATGCTTTTAGTTCTAAAATAAAATAATGACTTTGAATAATAATCATTTGAATATCATTAACATTTCCAAAATACAAGTAAAATTAAGATCCATGAAGCAAGAATGTATTTTGTAAATAACGATGTTTATTTATTGGTACGCACTTTCCCTTGCAGGGAGATCGCTGTGATGTCACTTCGCTCTCTGTTTAAAATGCATAGCAGTTTGCAACACAGTATTTTATTTTACCTACATTGAAACTTTACCACACAAAGTTTGTTCTAAGCAGAATCGAACCCACGCTTGATAGCCAGTCTAAAGTAGACTGTTTACCACTAAACATTCTGCATATACCAAAATCAATTTATGGCAACACTTGTTTTGTTACATTGGATTCTCTGTTTTATAATATAATAATTAATTTTAAATTATGATCATATTGTACATTTTTTGATGAGAAGAATATGTAAGCGTTTGGTAAAAACTGGCAATACTAAAACCAACCTGGTCTGGCAACATCAATTATTGTAACGATACATTATGAACAGGCTACAAGGCTCCGAGTGGCAACGAACGGTGCAAATAGGGTGACAATGTTATTTAATTTAAAATTTTACCTATTTAATCTCAATCCATATCCATACTAATATTATAAATATGAAAGTTTGTGAGGATGGATGTATCGATGTTTGTTATTCTTTCACGCCAGAACGGCTGAATGGATTTGCATGAAATTTGGTACAGAGATATATTATAGTCTGGAATAGCCCATAGACTTTTTATCCCTGAAAAATGTACGGTTCCCATAGGATAGTTATATTTTTGTTTTTCTGCTAGTAATAAATATTATTAAATTCAATTTTCTTGTTAATGGCTTCGAAGCATACCAGTTGAGCACAGATAACTTCGCTGACGTCACGTAGAAAAATTAATACTGATTATTTTAATTCTCTCCGAATGACTGTGATGATACTAAATAAACATAAAAATCTCATACGAACATCAATACGATATTGTTGATGCTTTGTTCTTCGGATCGATCGATATATATACGTAACTTTTTCCATAAAAAAAAACTATTTATAAAGTAAAACCCCCTAAAGTGGCAACTGACATGGAACACTTTAATCATAATAGAAACATTTTTTTTATGTTGCGGTTTCTTTAGGATCACCTAGCTAGTATTAATATATCCTCCTTAATAATTTAGGCTGCGGCGGCCAATATACAAGTACAAGCAAACACAAGTGGACTCTCTACTCCTTTCACTCTCAAAGTCTGGTGGGACGATACTTCCATACCGGTGGGAGTTAAGAGCGCAGGACAGATTTAACGTGCCTTCCGAAGTACGCGGGTGTAAGTTGTAGACCCGCCAACTTCCGTACTCCGGGTTTCTTAAAAGAATTTTTAAGAAATAAACTCAAAAATAAGCTTGTCTCGTCCCAGGACTCGAACCCAGGACCATTGGATCTGCAGCAAAATTTATGTTTAATCATTATAGTCTGGGATCATATCATGTTCCTGTAAATGACAAAAATTTTGGTCACTATGGATGTGAATGTTTTATTTTCACGGTCAACGAGTACTGACCTAAAGTGTCGAGGACTATAAATCGAAAGCGGTAACATAAGGCATAATATTATTTGAACATAACAATTTTCATCTCCTTTGTTAAATGATTATTTTGTTTGATATAATTATAATGACTTTAAACATGCATAGCGAATACTAAAAGAAAGGTTTTCTAAAAACATTGCTACAATAATATGGTTTTATTCAGTAAAAATATACTATTTTCTAGAAATTCTAAAAGATTGTACATAGGTACCTTTTCTTTATAGTGTTATGCTTTTGCAAATTTACATATTTATTTCTTGAAAACCTTTTATGAAACTTTAATAAACCCTAGCTTCTTTCTGTACACGATATCTACAAAAGCTATAAAATTTTCTGTTTTTCGTTTTGCACTTTTAATTGTACAATGACAAAAATCATCGAAAATCCAGTCTATATCAATTGATATGTATTCAGCCCTTTTTAACGTCCCACTGCTGGGCACGGGCCTCCCTTCAATACGAGGGGGATCAGGCCATAGTCCACCACGCTGGCCAAGTGCGGGTTGGCGGACTTCACAAGTCTTTCGAAAACTTGCTAAGTTCTCTAAGACATGCAGGTTTCCTCACGATGTTTTCCTTCACCGTTAAGACAAGTGGTAATCATGTTGGAAATGATTCGCACATAAAAATATCAGAGGTGCGAGACCCGGGATTTGAACTCGCTTCACTCGGTTTCCCAAGCGAGCGCGATACCACTGGGCTACCACTGCCTTTCAATTGATATAAATACATTTAAATAATCTGTCTGTATATAGTCGAAAAAACTCAAAAGTGGATAAAATCTTAGTTTAGTTTTTGTTATGGCCTAAACAAAGTAATATTTAAAAATATAAATTCACAAATTTATAGGTTATGTAAAAATTAAGTTTAAGAATATAAAAAAATCTAAACGCTTTAAAAATGTAAATAACATGAATCCGTGGCGGTTAATTCGTTTTACTTCATCAACAACGAGTGTCCGTGAGTTACATATTACATATGTACATACATACAT